CGCACCACCCCACCAACACCGCCCCCCAAAATAAAGAGGGGGGGGGGGAGAGAGAGAGAGAGAGAGAGAGAGAGAGAGAGAGAGAGAACTTGCATCCCATCTCAGTGTCAACTCTGCTCGTCCTACACAAGAGTTAAAGGAGGACAGTGACTGGGCACAGGCTGCCTTTGAAACAGACAAGGACGGGGAAAGGCTGGGTGCAGCAAGGAAGAGGAAAAGGTCCACCCACAAGCAATGTGTTCAGTGGCCCCAGAATCTTAGGACAGCCGAGTCCCCCGTCATGCACACAGCTGCCACTAGAGGCTGCCATATTAACACGCCATTCACATTAGTTTCACCACTGATTTCTCCCCCTCCAAGTGGGTGTCCCAAGAACAGCATCTTGCTAGATGAGATGGTTAACAGCACTGCAAGCTCAGCTCGGCAGAGATTCATTCATTGGAGATCTCCCAGAACTACTGGCATATGCCCCCAGTCTAAACACAAACTAAAGCAGGACTTCTGAACGCAACACATCTTGAGTCACAGCCAGAACGGGGACTCAGAATGGGCCATTTTCTACGCACAACTGAATCACTATGCCTTGTCTATGCTAGAAGAACGGTTATCAGTAATAGGTGCCACCAAAGGCACAGCTGAGCTTCTGCTGAACACGGAACCTGGTTTGCTACAAATGTAGACATGGACAAATTGATCTCTGGGTTAGGAAGCTGGCAGGTTTTCTAGCATCAACATGGATTTACAATCCGCTGCTACCACAGGCCTCCTTAAACACACAGGCACATGCAGCAGGCGTCCTGCTCATTTGCAGGGCGAAATTACTGCTCAGAAAAGACTCCGGTTTCCTGGATTCCCCAGATAAGAGCTCTGCCATTTGCACTAAAAATGTCATTGGGTCACATTACTCCCAATTCTTTGTCACTGCCGTGTCTTGGCTCACAATTATATAACTAGATCAAACGATTGGATAAAATAGGGCAGAGGAAAGCAGCAACTGCAGCAACGTGACCACATTCTACAGGATGAGTCATTAAACAAGTAACTTTCCCAGAGCCAACACGCCATTGGTTTTCCCTGCTGCCATCCCACCCTGAGTCCCTGGCCACAATAAGAGAGGAATATGAAGTCCGTTCCTTCTGCAACCTGGTGATTTACTGATGCAGCACCCGGCTGTCCCTTTGCACTGACTTTTCTCCAGCAGAGCTCAGAAAAGGGTCCTGGCAGGCAAACCTGGCAAGTAACACAATCCAGAGTTGACCCAGCAGAAGGCTGCAGCTGCCTCCAGTCCATGTTTCCCTATCTGTCTTTCCGTCTCCGTGCATATTTACTTTTCCTTCCTCTTTGGTATTGGCTCCAAACCTATTTAACACATGTTTAAGTGTAGGTGAGACACAGCGGTGCCAAAAATTAAAAACCAACCCCTCTTACCTGAGCGCGGATAGGGAATACAACCCTGATCAAACGGTTTGTCCCTGTTCGAACACAACATGACTGAGCAAGCTAGGACCTTGTTCAATCTAAGAGTTACACGATTGTTTGCCCTGCATAGACAATTCTAACATGAGGACTTCAGAATGGCGACATGCACGATATATTCCCATTGCCACAATAATGTCTTGGCCACAATAGGGGTGCCACGAAAAATCTCACCGGTTCAGCTGAAGTGGTGTCAGAACCAGTGGGAGCCATGGTGGAGCAATGTTCCCACGGCTGGGTGTGTTTTAGGGATGTAAAATTCCATGTAGTTAGTTAACTGGTGGGCACCATGGGGCTGAAGCAGTCCACGACTGCTGCAGGGGGAGGGGGCTGCTTCAGCCCCCCGCTCACCTCCCCGTGAACCAGAACCGGTAAGCATCACCTGGTCAGGGTTAACCATTCCCATCCCTAGTGCATTTTACCACAGCGTTTAGTAAAGCTGCTTGGGCAGGCTTCACACAAGTTTAAAGCACGAGAAGATACCAGGCCTCGTCCAGGCGACACCTCCGAGAGGCTCTCGCAGCCGAGCTGACATTAGACCCCGTGGGGTTTAGTTTTATTAGATTCCCTACAGCAGATGCCGACCACCAGTCCCGCCTTGGTAGCACTTTGCTTGTTGTGGCAGAGGGTGTGAGGGAACGTCCCAGTAGCAGTCTGCCTCTCCACCTTCGACTGACCTGCTAATCCGACAGGGCTACAGTGAGCAGCTTTTTCCACACTGTAACAATTTGTCAACCACGTTTGCACATCCACAGCTGCCTAACCATGCTTACGCAGTCAGTGCCCCGGGGGAAAGTCTGGGCATGTATCCCATACTGCCTCAGCCATGTGCACTGCACACTGGCTAGCCCTATCCACCAGCGGCGCTGGAAGAAGGCCCACCAGCCAAACTGGCTGCGTTTGCATAGTCCAGGGACGTAACTACCCAACAGTGTTACAACCCAGGCACAGGACAACGGTCATGCGCTTCACTTTTTTAGTTTCAGATTGATCATCCTTCATTTTTTCATGCAGGACTCTCTGTACTGTAAACCAGTGGTCCCCAACCTTTACGGGCTCCCGGGCGCCCGGGGGCAGGGCCACACACGCGCCGGGCGCCCGGGGGCGGGGCCACACTCACG